TCATGCTCTTGTGCTTTATTTTCTCCCAATCCAATTTCAAAATGGGACAAATAATAAATCTAGGCTTTTGATAATTATCAATTATGATCGTGTTGTACACTGTTTTAATAAAATAGCCAACTGAAAATTGAATAATCAAAGTTCTCATGTGTCTTCCTTAGATTTATACAGGGGAAAGGAAGATTAACTGATGATATACTCAGATGTGCACATGCACAACACGAGTGTATCATGAAAGCAGCCATATGGGTTTAGTCTTTGAATAAAATTTAGATGCATTCCAAATAAAATGTGTGCCTAAGCAAAATCTGACAGATTAAAGTTTTTATCTTAAATGCATTTGTGAAAAAAAAATGGTGCACCCACACACCGATGTAATCAGTTTGTCCTCCATTTTAGATACCAATGAACAACCGTCCATTTTCATATGTCACCCGGGAGCCTTTGTGCCGATTGGTAATCACGATGCAGATATTCGCTCAAGTTGAGACATTTTCAGCTCCTGCCCAAGAGTAATATGACCGTCTAATCGCGTCCTTACATTGATTTTAATGACATTATTAGAATTTGTTGAGGGGCTGCGTCCTGTCGCCATCATGTGGCGTCGCTGTCTTTAGCCATTTCTTCGACTACTTCACCAAATTTGCAATGCGCCTTGCCTGTGGTGGATTTAGAGGTGAGGAGAGGAGCTGATGTGATTGGTGAAAACAAGACTCGGCTGTGTTAAACCCAATCCATGCCTTCTCCCCTCTGCCTGTCCTACTTGCGCCGCAGGGATGAGCTGAGTTAGGGAGGGAGGGTACTTACACAGGGCTGCGCTGCTCACTAAAATACCAACGTGTGCTTAGGCATGCCTCATCGGCGCAATAGACCTGACTTACGTCGCACCTGTGCCACGCTGCTGGCAAGGCATGAAAATAGAGCCCTTAGACTGATAATAGTTTATTTATTCTTCATTGCTCTTCATATAGAAATTGCTCTCTGCTGACTGTTGTGCAGCTGTTGCACTTTATTGTTCTTGTTGATCTTCAGCATCCTTAGTTCTGTTAGCCAGGTGTATTAAAGTGTATTTAACAGACAGACAACCAGACACTAGTCTACAATGAAATGACTTTGGGTGCATTGGAAGTTTAAGGCAGTGCAGCTACAGCGATCAGCAACAACAATTCTCCAGTCTATCCATTAACCCAGAGAACAGAGTTTTTTGAGTTTTTGTAGTGTGTTTATACCCTTCACTCTTTTATTTGAGAGGATACTAAAACCATCTGATTCACATCCTCAGAAACAAAGCAGACTTTTCCGGTAAACCTCAGCTTCACTATGAAAATTTTGCCAAAATTCAGCCAACAAATTATAGGCTTTTTTTATGTTTAATTGGTAAAACCCACTGAAATGGAATTGTCCATTTATTTTCCGCCTTGATTCAGGATCAGGTCACAGGGGCAGCAGATTAGGTAATACTTGCAAGCTCTTAGAGAAGGGTCCCAAGGCCTTTCAAGACCAGATGGGATATGTGGGCCTCATCTCAACCGACCCCTTGTGAAGAAGCAGTGCTTCCTCTACGATCCCCCATTCACTACCCACCCAGAGAGAGCAATCTACCGTCTTGGACACAGCTCTCACTTTGGTTGTGAAGTATAAGGACCGGATGGTTCAAAGTATTGACCCTGGAGCCCCCATACTCGTCTGTGTTCATTTTTGGACCATGAATGTTGTTTAGAACTTAAATAAAATAACCTATGATTGTGAAGTAGTTAATTTTGAACAGTGTGGACTGAGCTAGCTCACTGGTACATTCAGGACAGTTTGTAAAAGTTCTTGGTTTGAATTAAAAGATAAATAAACAGACTCACTGAACTGCAGAGCAGCATTTCTTCAGATGGTTGTACCACAATGGATAACATCATATCGCCCCTAATTGGATCAGGTTGTATTGAATTGCACTGCATGGACATTGGTGGGAATTGTATAGTGTTGCATTGGTAGTTGCTCTCTACATGTCTTCTATGTATTATTGTGGCAGTGTATCACAATATGTATCATAATGGTCATACAGCAGAGATGCTAACTCTAGTTTCCACTACCGCTGTTGATGGTTTGTATGATCAGTGACTTCAGAGTGGGATTAATTTGCATCAACATATTGAGCTTCCTTTGATGAATTAATGGAAACTAACCCATTTATTTGCCTTTTTGTAAGACAGCAACTTAAGTCATTACAATGACATTGCTCATTGACATGCTGTGGTATGCTGGATCAATATCCCATGGCAGTTATGCTGTGGTGCAGACTTGTGTAAATGTAATAAGTACCATTTTACCTGCTGTTTTTTTCAGACTCCCTTTTCAAACACAAATTGGAGCATACCATCGATACAGTTTACTATGATATGTCAGCAGGTTGTGATCTGCAGACAGTAAAAAAGGTTGGCAGGGATTTGTTTGGCCTAATTCAAAGTAGCCCCTCATTGTGCGCCTCATTCATTAAAATTTAACACCTTCCCGTCCTGGTTAATCCTGACTGCTGTTGAACGAAAGGAAAACTGTTCATGATTCTCAGTGAAATTCAGCCTTTACCACTAATAACTCAGAATAGATAAAATATGTACTTGTTCATACCACAGCAACATAAAGAGGTTGAGGGAAGAAAAAATGCCATCACTGCTATTCTGGGTGAACTATGAGAGGCTCTTCACAGTGTGTCTGTGTCAAACAGGACTAACAGGAGGACAACGTTTAAGGGCTCCAGGAGAAGAGAGGCCAGTGGAACACTTATCAAAGATGAGGAGAGATCAACCAAAGTAGCGTGGAGTGGATGTCTTCATGAGTGTGCTTTGTTACAATCAGCAAACAAAGAAACACAATCGCTGCATTTGCACGTTCATTTTCTGTATTTTCAGTCCTGCTAAGATCAAATAGTGGCCAAAGACAGGAGCAGAGAACAAAAAGGTGGTCAGTGGATTAGCAGCGCATACACTACAGGCCAAACTTTTGGAAGCAAGATTAGATTTGTACAAAAAAAGATCATAGTTTCATATATATTATTTGCAACACAATAAACATGGCTATTGTGTAAAGAGTAACTTATCAGAAGACATTTTGACTATAATTATTAGGTGTTGGAGTTATTGTTGCTTAGACTTTGCTTTCTTTAAAGTAACCTCCTCTGGCTTTAACAACAGCTTGGCATATACCTGGCATTCGTTCCACAAGTTTTTTAAGGTATGTTCCAGGGAATGCATGCCAAGCTTTCTTAAGTTCATTAAAAAGAGACTGCTGATTCGTGGGACGCGTTTTTCTGACCAATCGACCCAATTCATCCCACACAAGTTCAACTGGAGAAAGGTCTGGAGACTGAGGGGGCCAAACCATCTTTTGAAGAACACCTTCCTCTTCTTTTTTGTCTAGGTAACCCTGGCAGAGCTTGGCATAGTGCTTAGGGTCATTGTCTTGGTGCAAAACAAACTTATGAGCCACAAGTCTGAGTCCAGATGGAACAGCATGGTGCTGGAGGATGGAGTGGTACTGTTCCTTCTTCATGATACCCTTTACTTCAAACAAATTTCCTACTCCATCACCTGCAGAACATCCCCTTACCATAGAACTACCACCTCCTTGCTTAATATTGGGTGTAACAGGGTGCTTTCAGACGTTCACCAGTTCGTCTGCGGACATTGACTCTGCGTTTTGAACCAAACAGTGCAAACTTGTTTCTAGTCATCATAAGTCCAATTTTTGTGAGCTTTTGCCCACTCATATCTCTTTTTCTTGTTCTGTGGACAAAGTAGTGTTTTTTTGCAGATACACAACCCTTCAGACCAGCCTTTCTCAAACGTCATTTCACAGTTGTCAGAGATATGGGTTTCAACCTTGTCATGTTGATTTCCTCCCTTATTTGTGGCGCTGTCTTTCACCGATCTCTCTTACTGGTGACAATGCTATGTTTATCCTCTGATTCTGTAGTAACTCTCTTTCATCTAGACCTTTTTCTGTCATCATAACTTCCAGGTTCCTCTAGTCTCTTCAGAGTGTAGTGGACTCCTTTGTTAAACACCTTTAGGCGTTTTGCAATTTCTCTTTCTGTGTATCCTTCTTTCCTCAATGTACAAATCTGTACTTTTGTTTCTTTACTCAGTTGCTTCTTTCTAGCCATTTTTGCGGTAGTTTGAATGCAGTTGAGATTTATAAGGATTTTTTAATGCAGACTCTCAAAAGCCAAAAAGTTGAAGTGAATAATCCAACTGTGATTTTTTTTTTTTTTTTTTTTGCTTTTGCACTGAAGTTGTGACTCTTGCAAATGTTTTCAACCCTAAAACTAAGCCCTTATTATCTTTTGCTGACATATATTTAGCAATGGCCTGTTAACATCAATGCATTTAAAGGTAAATGGAGTAAAATGGTGCATTTCCATGAAAGCAACATCTGATCATGGAGTAAATACATCCCAAAATACATAAAACTCATGCTGGATTTAAAAAAAAGCATTGTGAACAAAAACTTGAAGTTACTCCCAACTGTTCGGCCTGTAATGGTCATGATGGCTTCCAAACTTTTGGCCTGTAGTTTAGGCTTCTTCTGCCAATATTAACAGACTGTGACTTCAGACTGTTGTGCACATACTGTGAAGTCCTCTAAGGAGACAACATGAGATTAGGCCACTTTAATAAAATTAGTGAATAACAGGATAATGTGACTCATACAGTTATCCTTTAGTTATTTGGACTGATTTGTTTAACCCCCTTAACCCGATCGGGCCGAGATTTTGCTGCATGTAATTAAACGCTGTAAAAAATGTATTGAAACTTGACGGCGGTTTTTACTTTCAATTCTCAATCAAAGTTTAGACTCTAATGTTCACAAAACTGGGTCGGATGTCTGTTTTAGTGTAAACATTACCTTTTTATGTCTATTTATGTCTATTTTAATCTGTCTTGGTGCGAAATCTGGACATTTAAATTTTGTGACCACCACCGAGTCAAAGCTTTACAGTGTAGTGGAGAATGCCTCCGTACGGCCATGTTTGTAGTCATTTGAAAGAGATGAAGCTACTGAATCGATTGACACCTACCACTCTAAGGACTACAAATCCTAGGTCCTTAAAAAGTTGAACGTAAATTCTGCGCAAACTGTGCGCTCTTGTCGGCTTTTACGCGCAGCGCCTCACAGACGAAGGCAGACCGTGGCACTGCACCCTGCACACACGGGATCTCCTCCAAACTTTTTCTATCGCGTATAAAAAACATTCCAACAAAGGAGAAGAAAAGTTTTAACACCAAGAAGGATATGGCAGAAATACTTTGGAGATACAGCGGGGGTCAGACGTTGACATTGAGGATTCGTCGGACTCCGAGGGCAGCAATGACGCCGGCTCCGTGGAGGAGGCTTTATTTGTAAGTTGCGTGGACCCACTTTACGGGTGAGTACCGCTATTTGCATTTATCTATAAGGGTCAGTCTTCTCAATATGTTTCTTTCAACATCTGTACTCCTTCTTTCATGCAACAGCGAGGAGGGAGAAGAAGATAAAGAGTATGTCCCACCAAGGCACCAGAGGAAGGTCTCTTCATCTTCAAGTTCCGAGCCCTCTTCCCCTGACCCTGGCCTGTCAAAAAGAGCTTGTGGCCGTGGTCGTGGCGGGCAAGCCAGCAAGCGGCCAAGACTGGCCTCTGTGGACTTGGAGGCTCAACAAGAGAGATGGCGCACAAAAGAAGAGCCAGATGTTGAGCCTCCAGCAACAGTATTCCAGCCTAAGCATCCACCTGGACCCAGGATTGACACCACGGCACAGTGGTCCCCGCTCAGCCTCTTCAGGCTATTCTTCTCTAGCAGCACCATCAACACAATAATCAGCAATACAAATACAAATTCTGCGTGCCGTTTGGCGCAAGGTGCGAAGTATACGTGGTCTCAGGTGACTCATTCTATATTTTTGTGTCAATAGTCCTGTTCTTTGGCCTGGTACGTGTGCACTCCAGGAATGACTTTTGGCGGATGGACTGGCCCTACCAATTTGTCTTTCCCAGGAGCAGCATGTCAAGGGACAAATTTGAGGCTATCTGTTGGTCTCTTCATCTCTCTGATGTTGCAGAGGATGAAGAGAACAAAGGAAAAAGGGGAACACCTCAATTTGACAGATTATTCAAAATCAAGCCACTCTATGGTGAGATTTTGAATGCCTGTAACTCCCTTTATCAGCCGTACCAGGCCATAACTATTGACAAGCGGATGGTGGCCAGCAAAGCAAGAATTGGATATAGGCAGTACATGAGGGATAACCCTCTTACAATATAATCATCACCCTGCTGATATTTGACTGGGTTCATATTTACTGGTAATTCTAACCCTGTCTGAAAAGGGATTTATACACCTTTTTTATGATAATTGGTGCTTGGAAATGTATCTCAATAAATCACAAATTCATGGTTTGAATAAAGTTACTTCAGCTTTGCGTGCTTCAGTCTGTAAATAAAAGCTGTGAATGTGCTTTAAAGGAGATTAATCACCTGTAGGACTGTGTTGATTCAAGGCTAATGTCACTGTGGTTTGCCCATGACTCCTACAGTCCTCACCCAGTTTCTCTGCTTTATTGTAGCAAACCTGCTTCCTATGACGCAGTTATGATGTCAATGGATAGTAACTGAAAGAGGAGAGAGTTAGCTGGCTAATATTATTTTCTTCTCCTCCTCCGAGGATGCCTGAGGTGCATCACTGCTCTTCTGTTCTACTGATAAACTCAGAGGGATATATCAAACAGTCCAATTTGTGCAAACACAGGTCCATCTCTGTGCACACTGTCAAAAACTTTCCTGTCTGTCTACATGTGCATTGTGCTCTTTAGTTTGAACTTTTTCTACCTCCCTAACATGGTTCATCCATGTTTCATATAAAAGGGAATGCAGTATGATGATCCACTAACACAGATGAAGACAGTGCTTCAGTGATTTTCACCAGATTTGTGTTCCTTCTGACACCAGCACAGAGGGAGGGCTGCAGAAACAGCAGGGGGGCTCCTCAAATATGAGTCAAAACATTTTGTCAGCAGCAACAAGAAAACAGATGATTTTCCAATGTGTAACTGCTCAATGCATCATTAATATTCCCCCTCAGAAAACTATATAACCTGATAAAAGTTGAAAGGAATTTTCAATAGTAGAAAATTCATACTGTAACCCAAAACATTTTCCAGTTTTTTAAGGACATTGAGGTCGCTCTCATGATGCTCTCCAGATTGCTAACAAATTGAAAAAGACAAAACAATTCATTCACATGTCAACGGCAGGCTATCAGTATGTTTTTATGTTGCTCAACAAATGGATTTATTGCATTAGTCTGACTGAAATCACACCAAATCAAACTTCTCATAGTTGGCCTGACATACCTGATAATGAGGTTGGGGATCGATTCCTCTCTCTCACGTATACGACTCAGTCAAACTTAAACTTGCCAGCATGTTGTGAGCATGCTCTGGTGTTCAGGCTTTGATGCGTCTCCAGGAAGACTAGTAAATAAAACCTCAACAGATGGATAAAGGATATAAAGAAGACTCAACTTTCCTGTCATACAGATGAATGTACAGTACAGTAAATCTTCTGTAAAAAAAAATTTATCGTTCAACATATATCCTGTTAGCCCGGTCTTTGATATGTAATCCGTCAACCAAAAGGCAATGTGATAGTGCCATCTCCACTGGCATATTGATGTTGACATTTTTGTCCTCATTCAGCTGTCACCTTTAAACATAAAGAGGCAGATGTCACAAACTTCCACACTGCAGCTGTTATTGTGACTACATCGTTTACATACATGGTTTAAGTCACTTTTCCCTCTTTGTAAAAACATTCATCATTAATAATAATGCATCATTAGCACAATTACAAGTGAAAATAAACATCCATATCAGCTTATGTCAACATATGACAGTATGAAGTGTTGTAAGTAGTGAGATTAAAAGCCTTATACATTTTATATATATATATACACATATTATTTTTATTATCTTTATTTTTTTTTTAATTTTTGCTGAGAAAAAGCTGCCTCAGCAGGATCATCATGTTACAGCCACAGTCATTTGGGTGTTCTGTTCAACAAGGCTGAGAGGAAACATGATCATCTTAAAGCCACATCAGCACATACAGACTCTTCTGGTTATCACATTGTAGGTCACATGACCTTTAGATACAGTGTGTTAATGTAATTTCATTTATGAAAAGTCTAATGTGTTTTCACTGATATATATTGTGATCACAGCCTGGATCATAAAGCTAACGGTGAAACTGAGTTACATCAGCTGGTCTCATTTCAGATGCTTTCTCTGGGCTGAGCTGACTCACCCTTTCACAAGGACTCATTACTTCCCATCAATATTAGTGGCGCTTGTAACTTTCCGTCACTGTTGCATAAGCTGTCATTGCAGAAGTGAAACCACTGACGTGCACTAGTGTTTCACAAACTCCCCTCTGCAAATGCTGTAGGTGGAACCTCCCAGTTTCTCAGAGTCTCTGTCATATGACAGCCAGCAGACAGCAGCCACCAGCTGTCCACTTGTCAGCTCCTTTACCTCCTTACCCGTGGGTGAGTCAGCCTTCCTCTCACATCCTTTCATCCCTCTCTTTTCAGCGTAAAAGCACAGCAGCCTCAGTTTGTACATATTTAATCATTATCAGTCATACAGCGTGATTCAGCCTGAACGGTAATCAGTGTAACTGTCACAAGAATTATCAGCATTGCCATTATCATCATTACCACCATAATCAGCATCATCATCAGCAACAACAGACACAATGATCCTGCATGAGTCAGGACACTAAATGAATCAACATGATCGATCTGGACTCAGTGTAATTAAATAAATCAATGTCTTCTCCATGGCAGGACAGTGACAGGGTTGACCTGGAGTGACATTTCTAAGGTGTCTATTCAGGTCAGGTAGTGACACCATCTTTGTGTTTTTCCCTGTGCTGAGTGTCCTGTCATGTCAGCATTTCCATAACAGCAAAATACATTTTTTGTCCATCTAATTAATAACTGTGACTGTGTATATTCTTTTTTCTTAAGTCCAACAAAGTACAGTAATAATGTTTCCTCAGAATCCACTTCCTCTTTGACTGAGCAAGAACAAAAACAGTCAACAGTCTCATTACGTTGCTGGTGTATCTTACTACTCATTTTTTTGAGGGTCGTGGTGGAGCTGAATTCAAAGAAGTGAACTTATGATTGGCTCTTGTGATCAGGTGGAGATCTACCAAGTCAGAATGGGCTTCAAATCTGACTGTGTATGCCAGACTTTCAGGGTTTTGTCTCAACCTAAAAGTCCACTGGTCTGCACCCATATGCAGTAAACGTAGGAAGAGGTAGCTGATGTTGTTCCAGCATGTTCCACATGTTTCAGCATGTTCACTGGATAAATTAGCCTAGTTTTCATCACAGATTGGCCATTTGGCTGATTGGACGATGAGAAATCTCAGAAATTCATCTGCAAGTGAATCTTGACTTGGTTTGTAAATTGCCATGAAGGGCAAAGAGAAACAGGAACAGCAGTGGCAGAGTAAGCAAACTGACTTTTCTGGGTGTTGCCAGGCATGATCAACCTTAGAGGCTTATGCCCAAACCCAGGATGGTTACCTCCACTAATCATATCAACTTTAACTTCAGGTATAAAAGAGCCAAAACAGAATGCATTCTTGCAAGTAATTATAGTGATTCATTTTCAGTGTGGGTCTGTCTGTAGTAGTGGTCTTTTATGGTGGTTGCTGCACATCTTAAAAAAGTCAAAGGAGAAGTAGCAGACTGCACTGAAATGGATAGTGAGTCCATTAACAATGAAGTGGTATACTTCACAATAAAAGCATAGTTTGACAGAGCAGGGTATAAAGCAGCCCTAAAAGCAAATATCCAAAACAAAACAAAAATAAATAAATAAAAAGGAAGACTTTGTTTAATGCAGAAGTTTGAGTTTAAGTCACAGAAACGATGATACATCATAAAATTGAATATCAATAGACATGGATGATGATGTAAGTCAAATCATGTGTCCCTGCCCCTCTCTTGCCTTTCCTGAATATGACTAATTGTTTTGTTTTATTCTCAAGTATTCCTTAAATGGCCTGATAATTTTGTTATCGCTTTATTTCATGAGGTGGAAATTCTAATTTTGTGACAGCTCCAGTTCAAATAGGATTGATTATTAAATCGCAAATTTCCTTTGAAAAATCAAACAACAGTTCACATCTCCAATCCCAATAAAGTATACATTCTGTTTATAAAATAACAGCACAGTTAGCAGTTCATAAAGCAAATAGATTAGAAAGGGTAAAGAAAGGCTTTTAGTGATAAAGAGGAAACACTGAACTAATATTTGAGTCCAAAGGTGCTCATTAATTCCTCCACCAGACTCATTCGTCTCATCTCTGTGTGCATAGTCAGTGACACAAATATACTTATTATTAGCATACACTTTCTCTGATATCTGGTCAGTGTTCCCCTTAGCAAAGAGTTAGAATAAAGAATAAGACATCACAGTTTTATATGGTATTCTGTCTGTAACCGCAGCTCTAAACTCTTGCAGCACTCATCCTATTTCAGGGACTTAAGATGAGCCCAGTTTCCCTGTTTCATGCCTGAATGTGTTTCAAAAAACTCCAAGGAAACAATCAATCAAGTCTGGCAACACACGGGGCTGCAAATGAGCCAACTGTGAAGCACAGTGTGTTTGACTACATCTGTTTTCTTCATCATATAAACTGTCAAACAGCATCTCAGACTGGAGGCTTACTTTACTGCAGTCTGTGCTGAACTGAGTCTGAGGCTTTACAAAAGCCACCAATGCTGATTAATAAGTCTTTTATTGGCTTCAAACACAAACACAGTTCTGAAGAAACGTAGAAGAGCTGGTCTGCCGACTCATTTTGTTCTGTTAATTGATTTCTCTGGAAGTGCCTCTTTGACGATGCACAAGAAACAGAGTTATCAGAGAGTTTATCTGCAGAGTCACGACTCAGATTAAACCTCTGCTACTCTGTAATATTATATCTATATATAATATAAAAGGAGCTTCACATGTACATTTTATTAAGGTATTTCCCTGCAGGGCAGCATGTTTCATCTGTTTGTGAGAGCGAGGCTTCACTATGACTTTGAGAGACAGGAACGTTGGATCAGGGCGTTGGATCTGTCTGACACTGAGGAGTGTCTGAATCACTGGAGCATGTCTGTGAGCTGGCACGTGCAGGAAAACCTCACATACTGACAAACACACACACTTATGCACACACATACAAACACAAGTTTGCATATCAATGCAAAGCAGTTTTGCACTTTTTGTAATTACATCCTTGAACAGTCCCTATGAGGGTTTAATTTTAGTCTACATTTGAGGGTATAACAAACACAGATTACTTTTTTTCTTAGATTGGATTTAAAGAGGAAAATACCTAACGTACCACACATTTTGACTGATTACTCAAAAAATTATGGAATGCCCATCCTGAAACTTGCAGGGATGCTACTGGACATGATAGTCTTTCTTTAGTGTGAATATGAAGAAAATTGAAGGACCCCCTTTTTTTGCTATTTCCAATTTAAGTTTTTGGTCTTTTATAATTTTTTTCTGGTCCAATTTGGGAAAAAAATGTCATGAACAAAAAGATAGAACTTGAAGAGAGCTTTAAAATGACACCTGAATCCAGCTCTCTAGGTGCCATACTTCCAGAGATATGAACGATTTTGTTATGCATGTCATGCTAACTAGCCAAAAATTCATTAGCCCCTATCTGACTAATTAGATGGCTTTGATCAAAAATATTTGAGCTCTGACAGTTTCTCCTGAAGGCCAATCACTCCACCAAATTTCATCAAAATCTGTGACATGAGTGGAGATTCTTGGTTGAATTGACATGGAATGACCCTATAAGATCTGAAAAGGAAAGATCCAGAGCACATGATGCATTTGAGCAGTTTTATTAGCATGTAAACTGACGTTTCGACACAGGTGTCTTCTCCAGAGTCAACAGAGAACCCATTAATGGAGCGGTTTAAATAGCCCACCTCCAATCAAAACAGAGTCTTTCATTGGTGAAGCGGCAAGTTTCCAATCATCTACACCAGCCAATGTGAGGGTACCACATGATCCATACTACAGAATGAAACTGCATCACAGATCACAGCGGTGCAGCAAATAAACATTGAACACAACAATCAACAAATGAAGAAAAATAAAAAATAAAATTCAAAATGAATGAAAATATATTTAACAAAAATGAAATACTACATTATACTGATTCAAACCCTGAAGTTCCACCATGTTGAGTATAAAAATCCAAAAGGCTTCTTTGCGGAGGAGCCTATCTGGCTTTTAGCAGATGTTTTGTTTGTCCCATGTAAGCTAAGCCACATGGGCACTTTAACATGTAAACAACATGCGTACTGTTACAGTTAAGGAACGGATTGATTTTGAAAATCAATTCGTCTTACACGAGACTGTCTCCTTGGATGGATTCTTACAGTTTGAGACTCAGTCTTATCTTTTACTGGGTCTTCCTGTAAATATCATGCTGAATCTGGTCTAGTCCAGCTCCCCTCAGGCATTTTGTGATCACATTTGTTGTGAAGTGATGTTTTATAAATAAAGACTGATAAAAAAATATATTTTTGAAAATAATTTGTTTTGGAGGGAGCAATAACTTAAAGCCATAAATGTCAATAAGGACAGTTATATATGACAGCTTCAGTAAACATTTCATCAACTTTTATCCCCTTTACAAATCAATAAACCAATAAAACAACAAGCAAAAGCAGTAACCCGTCATCTCTTTACACATCAATCAGAGGATTGAATCGCACAACCTCCTTGATTAGCTGCAGCCTGGGTTGTTAATGTTACGGATTTGAATAATGTCAACAACCCTAAAAAAAGCCTCCCCTGCCATCATCATGAAGCAGGAAATCAAAAGTGTAATCATCAGCAGTGAAAGCTGAAGAGGGACATGTTATCAGAGAGAGAGAGAGAGACAGAGAGGGAGAGGGAGAGGGGAGACGAGGAAAGATTCATGGAGAGAGGAGACGACAGAGAAGAAGGAGAGAGAGAGATCAAGAGAGACACAAGGAGACAGAGATCGGTGGGTGCAGCAGACTATAGGCTAAAACTGACTTCAGTGTTTAATAGCCGTAAAATAGTCAGTAAGCTTCTCTTCCCACCTACTCTTAGTGTTGTTAATATGCTGTTAGCCTCTTCTCCTCCTCCTCCTCATCATCACCACTCGTACCCTGACACACACACACACACACACACACACACACACACACACACACACACACACACACACACACACACACACACATGCATCTGCTTATAAATCCAGAGTCACACACTTAAACACAGGATTATGTGTGCATGTACAGAAAGTCAAATAGGTTGTACTCTCTTACTGGAACTCACAAACGCATCTATATACACATATTGCACACCCTCTTTATATGCGTGCAGCTGGGGTTTTGAGGAGCTCTGACAACTTCAGGTTGTGAAGCGAAGAAGATGAATACAGTTGCTTGTTTTCTGTATCCAGGTAAAGTCTCCTGTAAGTGGCCTTAACTCATTATTCACACATGCACACACACACACACACTCCCTTAAATGGATGTACATTTACACACATGCACTCTGTTCTTTTCCTGCTGTCTCCTCAGGTTGCTTCCCTCCCTTGCTCCCACTCCCCTTCATGTTAACTGAGCCACTGGATGCTGAAGGCTCTAATCAAGGCAGCACAATGAACGCCAGGCTCTGTGGTGAAGATCGCTTTCCATCAGCGCAGCAAGGCTCTGTGCTCATCTGTCTGAATACAGTTGCAGCTCTCTGAATTGCATGCTGAATTTTCTGCCTCTTTATATATCCTCCATCTCTTGCCTCAGTGTGCGACACGGATCTCTCCACACGAAACCCGAAATGTTGTCAGAAATGAATCAGATGTTCAGATAATTGGTGCATGAACATTTAAAAGCCAATGATGAGGCTCTATTGTGCTAATTAAACCAGACTGCAGGTACAGTATTTTGTTGTCTTTTTATCATCTGTACACTCCTCATTTATAGATGTCACATATCCACAAATTTTACAGAGAGGATACAGGAGGATCTGATCAGTCTTAGATTCTTAACATGATATTGTCTGCTTATGGTTTTTGTATCCCTCAGGATATCAGATTTGTACATCACACACATCACAGATCCCAGCAAATGACGTCACAAGATTTTTTAGCAAACACCATAAAAATGAAAGACAGACATATGTGGTTATGTCATCTTCACTGATCAGAAATACTGACTTAACAGAATTTTATCCAAAAAGATTTGGGTTAAAAGATGTTGAGTTGAAGGGGAAAGTGTTTTTGGATCTGTCAGAGTTGGTAACTAAGTTTTAGTCTATTCCATTTAGATGCAATGATAGCTGAAAGCTCCTCTTTGATATCACAGACCTGTAAATCTGCTCTCATGTATCATCATGGTGACACCTAAGTGATGCACCTCATTTATATTTGTGATACTTCACAGTGAGGTATCTAGATGATGCATTCCTGTGAGATTCAACAGATATGTTACGGAAATGACTCTGAGTAACATCTACATATCATCTTCTTGATATTGACAGTAGAAAATTAGGGCTAACACGGGTGTTTCCTTTCATAGATGAAAACCCTAAAGACGGATTCATGTTTGAAGTTGTCAGTTTAAGAGAAGGTGTATTCCCTCAAAGGTACATTAGTTTACAGAAACATGAAGCTGAATGATCTCAGTTAGAGCTGCTGTCATAGATCCTGATAATGTTTTCTCAGAATGATCAGAGTCGACTATGAGGAGACGTCCTGATAATAACTCATCGTTTATTTCTTTACTCTGACAGAAACTCCGCTCACTGTCCTTTAACTCACTACAACACTCAGAGCTGACCAACCGTCAGACTCATAATGCTGTCTAGAAGGAAGATTCCACACGTCTCAACTTTCTGCCCAGTCTGTTCAGAGTCCTGATCCGTAATACAGTGTGGATCTGAGGAGACAAAACATTAGGGACACTTTAACCAGATGCTCCACGATCATCATTTTGGTACAGACAGCTAGCTGTTCACTGTGAACCACATCTCTTAAACTTAACCAACACTTCATTCTTTATTATCAGGACTTTATTCTCATTATATCAGAACTTTACTATAACATTAATCTCTATACATTATGGGCCTGATCTACTAAGATCCAAAATAGCGAGCGCTAAATGCAAAAAAGTGCAAACTGAAAAATTGCATGTGCTATTAGTGGGCGTGTTGCGGGTGATCTACTATCATTGCGTGCGCAATTAATAACGGGAGCAAAAGTGGTGCAGACTGCCCTCTTTGAACGAGGATTTTGTGTGCGCTATCGGCTGTCACCATGGACAGTTTGTGAGAGCAGAGTGTTTGAAATCATGGAGTTGTACATATTGTTTTGGGGAACTGCATAAAAGGCAAGGCAAGTTTATTTGTATAGCACAATTCATACACAAGGCAATTCAAAGTGCTTTACAGATGCAAGACGATATACTAGAAATCAAAAAAGGGATTAAAACAATTTAAAATCAATATGACAAACAGAAATGTATTCGTCTGTTTCGTGTTTGACCTTATTATTTGTAAAATTGGCATTTACCAGAAAAATGAAATAAATCACAAGCTTTTGGACAAGGATCATGGCGTGCATCATGGCACTTCTTCCCATTCTCTCCACAATGACCGTGCGTTATGCTGCTCCAGTTTGCACGTGTCTTTCAAACGTGCTAAATATAGGCGCAAAACAACGACCGCAATCAGATTCTGGGTTTGATGAATCACAATGCGGGTGCTAAATGATTACATCTGCTCCTGCCAGAATTGTGCGTGTTGTGATGATCTATATACATTATGCATATTCATATAGGCAAACACGCTAAATCGATTGCGTGCGCTGTTTTGCTCATTTGACAGACGCAATCCTTGGTGCACCCGGTTAGTAGATCAGCATTGTTGTTTTTGCACATGCAAACCTTTACTAGATCAGGTCCTATGACTTTAAAAACTTACAATTCTCATGATATGACCTCACTACAACTGATTTACTTGGACTCCAGAATTCAAGGCAGGTTTGTGTGTCCTCTACCCATGAAAACAGACCAGAGTGAGTCCTGAGATGGTAGTTTAGTAGAAAGAGGGATCCTGTTCACCCTGTTGGGCTACTCATTTGCAAAACCACCACTTCACTTTATACAGTCTCTTATATCTGAGGGTCTTGGCTCCTGTAGTTTAAGTCAGCCAGCAACCACACAGAGGCTGAAAATACCCCACTGAAAGTTAAAGTATCAAATTATTATCCAAATTATGTCAGAGTTCTTGGAAAAGTGAAGATTTGGTCCCTCTGCAAGTGGAACCAGCCAGTGTTTGATCATTTTATTTGGCCATACCGCAGTGATATGTCAGTTTGAAAGCTGTGGAGCTTCAGGGTTGTGCGATTATTGTATATAAAGAGAAATGACACTTTAAGCTCAAACAATACTTTTAGAGTGATATACTGTATATTCCCCTAAATATGACAAAATACAGTTTAATTATATCAGAATTCCTTTGTAATCCAATGTGAGGGAAAATGTACTCACCATTTGTTACATCATCAATTTGAACTCCATTACCTGGTTTAAAATGTGTCCTGCTTTTAAAATAGCACCAAAAACTTATTTTTAGAGATCTTCACAGCAGCTCCCGTCTGTCGGAGCAGAGGCGACTGTCTTTTTTATCATTTCACTGAGATTTTTCTCTTCATTCCTGCAGCAGCTTAACCCCATCTTCTTGAAAGCACTGCCACATAAAATCACTCTGCAACAGCAAACGCATGCACAAGATGAGGACTAAGAAACATAAACACGTATAGGACATTGCAAGGGTCACAATGCTGCTGTGATTTACACCAGCCAGCCCCATCAGCAGTTATGTGGTTTTAGAGGAAACATCCAGGGCTCTATTTCCATACCTGCCGGATGGTGGCGCACCCTGTGCAGTGATATTTCTGTCTGGCGGAGTTTGGTATTTTCGTAGACAGAGGAGCACTGAGGTCCGCCAAGCTGGGCGTGGTGGTGTGGCAGGGGGAGGTGTCGACAGAATCAGCTGGCGCAGTGACATTTTTGTGCTCTCCAGCAGCGTAAAAAGTGTGCTGAAAGCTCGCCGATTCAAATCTGGTCGGAGGCGGAGCGCAGCTGGTCTAGTGGTATTTTGGTAGATGAATCAATGAGCAGGTTTTTCCAATGAGCTGGATGAATGGTGTTCCTAGATTTCCAGTCCATGAGGATAGTTTTCTTGGCGATAGTTAGGGCCACGAGAAGAAGGTTATTGTTTACTTTGTCTATTGTGAGTGATGATAAGCCTCCTAGAAGGCAGAGTGAGGGGGATAAAGGGATGCGGCAGCCCATGAAGTGTGATAATGACTTGGTGACTAGTTTCCAGAAGTGTTTGACTGGGGTGCATTGCCAGATGGCGTGAGTGTAGGTGTCAGGACAGTTTTGAGTGCAGTAGGTGCAAATTTCTGAGGTGAATCCCATTTTAAACATTTTTTGTCCAGTGTAGTGAGTTCTGTGAAGTATCTCATATTGTATGAGTTGTAAATTAGCATATTTAGTCATAAGATAATTGTTTTTACAGATTTGGGTCCAGAAGTCGGCATCAGGAGCAATTGACAGGTCTTGTTGCCATTTTTGTGATGGTAGAGATATGATTTTGTCAGATTGTAATATTATTTTATACATTTTGGAGAGGAACTTTTTTGGGGAAAGTATATTAATAAATTCTGATATTGTAAGTGAAAGGTCTAGATTTGTGGATCTGATGTTTGATTTGACAGATGACTTAAGTTGTAAATATTCCAGAAATTGATTACTCCCGATGCCGTATTCCGACAGGAGTAGGTTTAAACTGTTTGGAGGAGCAAAATTATGGAATGAAAAGGACATGTTAAGGTTCTGAATAAGTGAATCGCTCATTTGACACCCCCAGGCTGAAGCGTTGCAGTTATTTACAAGGTGCCTCATCTCTTTAGTTATTAGATCTGACAGATTAACCAACTTTTACTGTTCTTGGTTTAATTTCTCTTTTTTCATGTAAATCAACATCCTGATTCAGAGTCAGAGATCATGTTCAATCCTGCCACATCAGTTTCAGTGGCATCTTTGCACCTATTTTCTTTTTTTTTTATGGTGATCTGAGGATTTTTTTTCTTCATTACTATTTTATGTCACACTTATTTTATGTGCAAAATTGTGCATCAAAATTAGTGTGCTGATTTCTTCTTTCAATATTTCATTAAAGCGCCTTGTAATGCCATTTTGAGCTGTGTAGATGTTAAAATCACAGAATAACCCAGATAGTAGATTGTGATGGTAATTAATGGTTAATGCTAACTAATGGTTTCAAATTCATTGGCTGTCGCTGCAGGATGTGTCCTGCAGAGAGTAGATAATCCTCACGTTATTGTGCACTTGTGATACTTCATTACAGCCTAAACCACAATGCTTTCGTTATATTCATCATCTTCCGACTCCCCCCTCTCCTCTCTTCTCTCCTTACTTCCCATCATCCCTGCCCCCCCCCCCCCCTTCTCTGCAGCCTTCAATCACTCTCTCCTCATCTGCCTCTGCAACAAAAACAAGTCTTCCTCCTTAACAGCGAGCCATTTCAGATTTAACTCACAGCCTTTAGTAGACCTCTCAAGGGAGAAGCCTTTTATTGTGTAACAGGCTGTCTACCCGTCACAGTGCTGTGTGGAGGTGTAAAACGCCACTCGCATATATGAATATTTCACAGCAGGAAAGATTTCACAGTATTTTACCTGCTGGAAAGTCAGGGAAGATAAATGAAGGTGGAAGGAAGGAGGGATGAGGCTTGGGTTTTTGAAATATCCCCTAAAAAGAGCTGCAGGGGGATGTACAGTGAAGGGGATTTTTGTGAACCTCACACATCCCCTGCCAGGCAAATAGCCTCATTCTCAGTATAACAGATGAATTGATGTGCAGCAAAAATGGACCTTAAAAAGCTTTTAGTTTGTTTCCATACCAATGGTATTATTCCTGTCTGATTTTAAGTGTGTGCAAGCAGTACATGCAGAAGGATTGCTCATATTACAAGAGGATCCAACAGAGTGGTCAAGTACCATGTTTGACATCAGCTTAAGTTGGATTCAGTGTTAATTCTGACAAGAATTACTCTTTTTTGATCAGTCTGAGACATTTTCAGAAAATTGTAGCTGATTGTAGTCATATTTTAGTCTTTGCGTCTTGTGCTGCTTTAGTCCAGATTTAGTCAGAGGAACTCAATTTTTTGTTTGGTCTCATTTTAGTCAATACTTTCTCAGACCATTTAATGACAGTTTTGAAAAAAGTACATTTTGTTTGAAAGATTTTAGTGTTGTGTGGTCATCTTGGATGAAAATGTGTTTCTACCTTAAGCTTCCTCACGACATGGGAAAAACTGTATACCTTAATACCCTGATTTGAAAAGAGCAAGAAGTCACATTTCATGGAGGTGTATTTAACTGAACTCTGCTCATGTTTGCTAAATGAGTGGAGGTCTGAATGTGAGTCTGAAGAAACCAGATTTTTGAAGGAGGAGGTGGACGTGTACTGTATGTTGCTTGGGATTGATAAAAACAGCAGTTAACTTACAGCGTCTGCGCATCACCAACAGGTGTTATGGTGAGTTTTGCTACCTTGTGTAAGAATGCTGATAGCGCTGAATAATACTGACCCAAGTCTTCACAGAGGTTAGAGTTTAGAGAAGGTTAAATTGGAAGAGTATTTGTGTATTTGTGTCAGACCATCATCAAACATTCTTGTTATCACCTGAGCAGACACAGACAGATCTCCCATTTCCCAGAGCCGTCTGGTTCGTGTAGCCACACTGTACTCTGTTCTGATCAAGATGATACTTTCAGTCTTGTATTTTAAAAATGTGTCCACAGCTCACCTCTTTCTTTCGTTCCCTCCCATTAAGGCTACAGGTTGAAATAAGACTGTTTTTGTTTTTTTTTTTAATTTCATTTTGGTCGTCCTTTGCTACTGCTGTCAAAAGAGCAGCTCTGTTTAACTCTACAGGATTTAATCCTGTGTGAGCAAAAGAAGTGTTTCCTGTTGGATAAATCTCGTCCACAAAATGAGCATCAAACAAAGGCGTCAAAATCCAAGAGCTCCAGTAATTTAATATTACAGTACTCAAGTACTTTGGCATTGTTTATTCTGGTGATTAATCAAATAATGTTATAGGAAGTGCAAAAGTGTGACAGTAATAAAGAATTATCTTATCTCACTGTAGGCTTTTAAATTCTATAAATTAGCTAATGCTCATTTATTGATAACACATTATTGGACAAAATAACACTCACTATATAAATATATTAACTGAAAAATATGTAAATGATAGTTGCTGAAGTATGAAGTGAAGACAGAGTGAGCAGATGATAATCATCTTACACATACCTCGGCCACCAAATGAAACATTGGATACAGCCCACATAGCAGCACTGAGAGATACTTGGATCTGAGTGCTGTCAGGCTGTTAGATTAGCACTGCAACATCTGCTGGAAAATGCTTCTGAATACATTTTGAAAACTGCATGGAAACAGTAAAATTGTCACTTTTTTCTAAGACAGACTGTAAAACGTATCTCATGTACTGGCAAGAGGAGGCTTAATGGTCAGTTGGGGCATCAAATGCATCAGTAAAACCAGGTTCAGCACCCACAATGCCAGATTAAAGACAATGTATACAACACTAAATGATGGAGGGGAACAATGCTGCCAGTGCTGACTTTAAAGATGGAAATAAATATGAAGCCAAACATCTTTTCTCCGTCACTACCTATTTATGTTAGCAAGACAATTGAATAAACTAGAAATTCTCTCTGGGAAATTTTGAAAAGGCCACGGGGGCTTCTGCCGGGGTAATAATTATGATGAGATTCTTCAGAGATTTCAATAATTATTAATACTAGTAGCATTGTTATATTAAATACAGGGAGCACACTTACAACAAACATTCCTTTTTCAAGTATTTAAACAAAGAAAAGAAAATGGGTAGCAGCAGTAGACATTTGAAAAACTCTTAAAAATTGCCTCTTTGTTTGGCTTATTAATTAAAATTAATATACAATAGAGAAAAGAAAGAGCACACCAATCCTAATCAAACCACTTGCTTTGATATTATAGTCCATTCTACAACTCTTCAAGCTGCAGGACCAGTGGCGAAATCGATATTTGTCCAGGAGAGGAATAAGAATAAATGCACAGTATAACAATAGTGCCTCGGTGCGTTTGCCCGAATAACACTGATAAAACATATATGTAAATGCTTAGACAGCTCTACAGCCTACTTGTCTTTAGGTACTGGTAAATGATTATATGAACAGCAGTTTCTTTTATCCTCTCTATCACTGCGCATGGGCAGAAAGACAATTCCTTTCATTTCTTTGGGAACTTAAGAGTGTCGTTTAGTGTTAAGTTATTGGAGGTATAGTTTCAGCCTGACATTACTTTTTAGATTTGCTGGATGGTGGGACACAAATATTTATTCTCTCTCTCTTTTCCAGCATAATGCGGCTCACCTGGTTTAATATGAAAGATAGAACAACATGATGCCAGAAGACATACAGGAAGTGTGCTCAGAAGCTTGGAGGATGCACAGGTTCAAATGACAAGACTTATTTGTGAAAATAGACTCCATGTCAGACACAGTGAGTGCTGTAAGCTCATCAGACTGTCAGAGGTACAGATGCCTCACATTATTGCATCCTTGTTGTATGTGCTGCTACTTTTATGTCTTCTTTTGTGCTTGTGTGAGCTGTTTTATGTCTAATCCTGTGAGGTGTGTCCACCCTCTAACAGCCATATCAGGTTTACGCACAGTGATGACCCCCAGAGCAGCACTTCCTCTTCTCTTTACAACACCAGCACCACTGCCGACATATTGGCCTGTTTCTTTCCTCATGTTATGGTCACTGTAATAGCTCCAAATGTGATTGAGATGCTATTAGGATGGGTTAAGTTATCCCAGGGGTGGAGAAAAAAACGTGACTGTACAGGCCTACTTAGAGGACAGAATGGATTCTTTCTAGAAGCCTCTTAAAGCCTCTAGATATTTTGCTTGAACAACAAAACCTGATATACTGTGTATGGACAATAACAGTGTTGTCTCAATAATGTTGACAAGTTTCATGAAAGACATGAGTAACTATGAAAATTCAGAATTCATGGAAAGCCCAGTTCAAAAAGCAGCTCTGTGATTATTAAAATCAAAGAAGGTGAAAACCGTGAATGAAGTCTCAGAGCCGCACTGCCAACTACAGAAATCAGTGCAAAAATTTGGGCCTCATTCACTGAAGGATTGCATGGCTCCTGGTCCACTAAAACAGAAAGTCATTCACAGAGCAAAGTGGGTGAGATGCTCCACCAATTGCACCACAGAATTAGCAACTCCGTGCATGTGTGTTGTTTGCATTAAATTTTATGAGCTATAATGCATTCATTTTGGAGCAAAACATAACTCTTTCTATGCAAACGGGCCTCACCGCAAAATAGTGTTGTGTCGTTCGCGAACCATTCGTTCAAAAGAACCAAATCTTTTAAGTGAATTTACTGAACCGAATCATTTCCTTAAGTGATTTGTTGGTTTCTCACTTGAGCTGAGCTGTCAGCAGCACAGCTGCTATAGCACGCAGCATTATGAGGCGAGTAGCCGGTGAACGAGGCACCGCATGCACTGACGCCTGAATCACTTGGTAAACGAATCACGCATTCAACTTCACTCTCTGGAATCATTTTTGTAGGACAAAACTAACTTTTTTTTCTATTTTTCACTGCTTAATTGCCACTCTAACAACTGGCATACAATAGGACACAGCATGTAACAAGTAGTGCATAAAACCCACAGCATCCTATCACTGCAGTGGTTTGCAAGGGAGCAGTGCATGTTCAGTGTGAATTCTTTCTTCTTTCAGAGAACAAATCACTCACCGAGCCCAATTTACCGACCAGACCTGATAAATAGCATACCCTACCACTTAAAACATCATGATTTATAATCAAGTTCATTTTTACAAACCTGTTTGCCAAAGCAACACAGCCACAACACTCTCATCTCCTGGTCCCAGAAGCTATGAATTGAACTGAATCTTGAACCGTTCAGCTGTGTATCAATTCAGGAGGTCGGAGTCACAGACTCCTCCCGCCAATCACTGAATGATTCGGTGATTCGGTGAACGAGTCTTTTTAGTGAACTGATTCTAGTGATTCAGTACATCTAAAAGAACTGCCATGCCCATCACTACTGCAAAATGCAAAGCTGCTTTGACTGGCGGATGGAGTGAAACTATCACTGTTTACTGGAAGTTAGTCATATTTACACTTGAGAACTTGTAAGTGTTGTCATACTCAAACTCACCACAGTTCAACAATCTCTTAATGACCTCAAAATAAGATGTCTAAACATATGGTGTGTTACTAGTACCTTGACTTTACTGTTAACAGAAAAGTCAGGGGTTAAATCAATCTGTGGCTGTACGTGCAGCCAAAGAAAAAATGTTTTAACTTGAATGACCTGTCTTATTTTTATTCTTGTCTCAGGAAGTAAGCTGGATGTAAACTGAAATTTGAGTCACATTTCTCATGAATCCAGAATAAACAGGTGGGTAATTTCCCCCCTCCAAAATGAAGAAAAGGTCAGCAACGCTCGTGTCCTTCTTTCGGATGATATTTATTGACTGAAGTCATTAAATATCATCCGAAAGAAGGACACTAGCGTTGCTGGCCTTTTCTTCCTTTTCACATGTCTTTTTGTGACCGTGTACCTCTTACTTTTCTATAGATATTTTGTGTGTGGGTGTTTTTTTTTTCCAGTTTTTGTACTTTGCCCCTCCATTCAGTTCATCATATTTGTAGCTTTACTCAGGACGAGAGTGCACAGCACAGCTTTGTGCAGCAGAAAGTGAAAATGCTGACAGTTCATCTTAGACACAACACTTGGGTAAACTGCAGGAAGAGATGCAGATCTTTGTGTTGCTTTTGTTCCTGTCATCAATAATATCATGATGTATTAATGATAATTTCCCTTCTATAACTGATTTTTGATCATTTTAAGAGGCCTTCTATAATATTCTAATTGCAAAGTGAGATAAAATCTGGATTTCCACAGCCTGCAAGGCCTAGAAAACGCAGTCCACGGCCAACATCTCAGAGTAGAGGAAGATGAAATCTCATCCCGTCTTTCTCTCTGTTCTTTATCATTGTTATTCAGGATGTGCTCAGCTTCACTCAAGTGCTGTGAGATTTAAATGAGCCATGTTTGACTTAAAATGAGAGAAATATTTTTCTCTCAGAGAAGTATTCTTCAGAAGCGCAGAATAGGCCACAACACCACCGTTCCTCACTGAAGATGTGCCTAGACCTCAAACAAAGCCCTAACAATGCAATCAGAACAGCATTGCTGGCTTCAAAGCTGGCTGGTATAAAACGCCTTATTGTCTCCACGCCTGAAAACCCCCTCTAAATATGTGCTGCTGCTTCCTCCCTTTATTTCCTTCTTCCTTACATCTCACGGACCTCCTCTCTTTCTCACAAATTCTGTTCACAGTTTTCATCCAGATATCTTTAGGGAGATAAACAGAATATTTGGCTCCCCGTCAAAGCTTCGGGGCTGAGTGCGTTGAAGCAGGGCTACTGCCGCTGCTGTGTCCGTGATTTGTCACCATTTCACAGCAGCCGGAGCAGCTATTTGGGTGAAATTATGGGGCTATTGATTGCAGAAAGAGAGCAGTTTTACTGAGAGCAGCAGAGCAGGACCAGAGGCAGACTAGGAGGAGAGTACTCCCACTTTATTAGCTTATAGTGTGTTAGCAATACCGCCTCCTCCTCCTCCTTCTCTTCCTCCTCCTCATCAAGACTCTGCTCTTGTTCTTCTACCTCTTTTTTTACCTGCTGTCTTGTCTTTCTTTTACTTTTCAACCCCTGATGCCTCCCTGCTTTTCCTGAACACAGCAGCATTACTCCTGCCTTCCTTTGAGGACATATCTGCTTCTTCTTTCTTTATTCCTTGAAAAGCCATTATGACTCATTTGAGACCAGGGACATCAGCTGCATGCGTCTGTCTCACCCTTTGCTTTTTTCTTCTCCTTTCTGAAATCTTCATCTTTACTTGAAACTTTAGGGCTATTATTTGTGAATCATTTGGAAAAGGTTTGGTTGTTGCACGCAGCCTCCTTTCAATTTCTCTTTCTGTCTTTTGTCAAGTAGCACAATTTTGTGTCCTGCCTTGAGGCAGTCTGCCTGGTGGAGAGACTCACTAAAGGCGACTCACACTAAGCCAAACTGTTGAGCTTATTGCTCCCATATTTTTTAGAAAGTGCTCCAGCCTGATCACAGTGTGTGGTGTTTTCTGTAATGTGCTGGAGGACTGCTTAGGGCAGCAGGGAGGCAACCAGACAGACATTTTCTGTCAGTGTCAGATGCCGAACCCAATTGTCTGTATCCTCCCAGATATTGCATAACATGCAGTGAGCGAGCTGGAGCAGCCGCAGTAATTAGCCCATTAACCCTAATGTGTCTAAATCATCTGGACAGGGAAATGGCTTTCTGTGGAGCACAAGTAGGCGCACCACTTTCCCCAGCCTGCTCCAATCTGAAAACCCACATTATGACAGACATAAAGCCTGCACTGCCTCACGTCAATTTCACTTCAGGTTGTTTCTCTCCATTCACCTCTGTAATTAGTTGAGTATGGAGAAGTTAATTTACAAAAACTAATGAACAATACATTTGGTAATTGATAAACCAGTTAAAGTATGAGGTTGCTAATATGAAAATGGTTCACTGTCATCCCCCGGCTCATTATTACACCCATGAACAGTCATCTTCAGAGTACAGTAGAGACACTGTAATTCGTTTTAACTGGTCTTAATTCAGTCTCACTCTTGTACTGATGCTCTTCATGGCCTACACATCAAAACCAGACTGGTTATTTCTTTACACCCAGTTTTAGATATGCTGCACCCTTAAGTATGTGTATTTAGAGCTTGGATGGTGAAGTGAGAGGTACGATATTAAGCAGGAACCTGCATTTAGTTTTTTTTTGTTTGTTTGTTTTTTAAGGTCAATTTTTTTTTTGCATAACTAGTCAAAACTGATACTGGAGCAGGATTAATATAGATGGAGGACTCTACAAACAGGCTTTTGCTCAGGAAAGGAACAAAATTGCTATGTTAAGAAGCTAAAACACAAAGCCTGAAAAGTAAATCCGTGTCCAGCATCTTCCTGCAGTGTAGACTCTTGGTGCTACAGAAGGTCAGGCACAGGGTGCACAGAGAAAGGATTAAGTTCCTCGATTATTCTTCAGTGTGTTTTTGGTATTTATGGATCAAACCTATCACAAAGTCTGCTCTCATTTTTTGCATTTTGTGCAAAATTGTGCATTTCTCCCTGTAAAATGTTGAGCGAACCACTTATGGGGAATATATAACGAACCTTGACACTGGATTTTATCATATGTTACTCAAACAAAATGAAAAAGTTGGCTGCAGACTGTTTGCAGGGCCGCTTTAAAACACATTTAATATTCCAGCAAAGTGCGGTGTGAATGTTTGTGTAATAATGGAGGTTGTCACTCAGTGCAACAATTTGTTTTAATAGCTTCTGGACAACAATGGAGCTCTGTTGCACTGAGGAAGGAGTTATTATAGCTGTCTGATACACAGTTGTTTGTAGCATATATCTGTGGGATCATTTCTTTTCATAGTGTAGGATACCACCATAGCCTCGATATGACCTCAGTGTACACCCCCCCCCCCAAAAAAATAAATAAATAAATAAATAAATAAATAAAGGCTTTAAAATAGATACAGAAACATATTTGATTTGACTTTTTCTTTGTTACCGTTACCTAACCTATGCTGCAGGACTGTTTGGCTGGAGATTCAGGGCGTGTTTGAAGCCTCTTTAATATGTACAGTACTGCCAGAGCTTTCTGGGAGAGTGAAGTGTGAAGTAAATAACATGATGTTGGACAAAACAGTGAAGACCCCTGCTAGGATGATGGCTTTTGCGTTCATGTTCAGTGTAATCAGGTAGATATGCAAATATTCCTGCTATGCTCATGGCTCCATGTTATAAACATTGTTACCATGTGCAGGTAAGCCCCTTGTGTTCTCTGGTGTCACATGAAATTTTACGAAGAGGATGTTGGAGTAAAAAGTTGACAAAGTTGAAGTAAAAATTGTGACTGTCTGCGTTTACACATGCCCCCAACCCTGATAGTAATGACAAACCTTACCACTCTTAACAATACAGAAATGAAGAGTCTGCATTACCTGTCTAAAACAAAGACAGTTAAAAAAGTGATAAAATCATCTGGTTGAGGTATTTTCATCAGAAAATGACAGACTGGACTAGTCAATGAAAGGGTCTCTGTAGAACTCCAGTCACCCCCTGTACACCACCTTCTCTCAGCTCCTTCAGCGGCAGATTGCTGACACTGAACTCCTCCACTGAGAGACACAGGTCCTCTTTTGTGCCCCGGGCCATCAGGGGGCACAATACATCACTGGGGAGGGAGGGGCAGGACCCCTGCGGAGTCAACACTCTGATGTCACTTGTTGCTGTCGTTGTTGTTGCATACGTTGTTGGATGCTGATGGTGACGATGATGATGATGTCATTGATGTGTCTGACCTGTTCTGCTCTCGTCTCAAAGCACAATCTACCTGTTTCTATCAGTCACTTTACACATGACTACACTTTATATTTATATTAACATTTATTCCTACCTTTCCTCTATTCACTTTATTTTTTTTTTACTTTTTATCTATTGTATTGTATTGTTGTTTGTATAAGCATGCTGAGCACAGTCCTTGAATTTCCTTTGGGATCAATAAAGTATGTATCCATCTATCTATCTTTTAAGGCTTTTTTAAATGAATTTATAAATGGTTGATTATAATAATAATAATAATAATACATTTTATTTAAAAGCGCCTTTCTGGACACCCAAGGACACTGTACAGGCATTAAGAACACAGTTAAAACACTTTTAAAATAAATAAAAACAATATACATGTATGGAAATGGACAGTTAAAGGGAGTATGCAGTTTGGAACAGATGTGTTTTGAGTTTTGATTTGAAGTGGGGTAGTGAGTCCATGTTTCTGAGATCCGGGGGGAGAGAGTTCCAGAGTTTGGGAGCAGAGCGACTGAAAGCCCTGCTCCCCATGGTGCTAAGTCGGGCAGAGGGGACAGAAAGGTGGAGGGAGGAGGAGGATCTGAGGGAGCGTGAGGGGGTGGCGATGTGGAGGAGATCGGAGAGGTAAGGGGGGGCAAGGTTATGGATGGCCTTGAAGGTGTATAGTATGATTTTATAGTGGATTCTGGACCGGATAGGGAGCCAGTGAAGCTGCTGAAGGACAGGGGTGATGTGGTGGAAGGAGGGAGTTCTGGTGATGATACGGGCTGCAGAGTTTTGGACAAGTTGAAGTTTATGGAGGGATTTGTGAGGGACACCGAGGAGGAGTGAGTTGCAATAATCGATACGGGAGGTGACAAGACTGTGGACTAGGATAGCTGTGGTGTGAGGAGTGAGTGAAGGGCGGAGACGGTTGATGTTTCGTAGATGGAAGTATGCAGACCGGGTGATGTTATTGATGTGGGAGTGGAAAGATAGTGAGCTGTCGAGGATGACACCCAGGCTCTTAACCTGAGGGGAAGGGGACACAGTGGAGTTATCTATGGTGAGGGAGAAACTGTTAGTTTTGGAGAGAGTGGACTTAGTA